TTTCCTCAATGATGCAAAAGGAAGTAGTTGCAGATTTTTCACAGTAATTCTGCTCTGTGAAAGTACAAACCCTGCAGAGATACTCTTATAATCACTCCACAGGTGATATCCAAATAGAATATTATTTCAATAATATTCATTCTTATCTTCCTTTTTTTCAGAATCAGACTTTAGGACTGAAAAAAATAGCTGACTTCTTTGGGTTCTCCCTGAGTGAGGAAGAGATTCAGACTGTTGCAGAGAAGAGCAGTTTCAAAGCTATGAAAGAGAAATCCTCCAAGACTCATGGAGCATTTGGGAAAATTTTCTTCCGTAAAGGTACATATCTGAAAACTCCCTATAAATGATCACCAGTCTCTTGCAGTGAAGTCATTGGCACAGCACCTCTAGCTGGCTGGGTGAACTGCAGGCGCAGGTTCTGATGAGGTCTTGGCTGCAGCATCCCATCTTTTAGGGCTGTTGTAAAAGCCTGGCCCTCTGTGACATCACAGGCTTGGAAACTCTAGCTTGCTGGTGTGATGTGAAGGCACAGTCCTCTGCAAGGGTTAGTGGCTCAGGACATCTGTCTTGCTGGGATAGTATCCAGGAAACTTTTATTGCTGGGCGGATGGCCAGGGAAAGGCCTCTCTGATGCCACTAGAGTAGCAATGATAACCCTCACTGTGATGAGCATGTAACAGCCACCTCCGATCCCAGGCCAAAGACAAAATTCAGAGTGCATCCAACTATAGGTGTTGAGCCAGACTGTCCCTGGGCTAGTTCTATGGCTGTTATTGGTGGCTGTGGAAACTTGAGCCACAATCAGTGCAGAAGTTGAAATTGCCTAATACAATTGCTGCAGTGACTCTGGCACTGCCACTGGTTAGCTCAGGAAGTACTCCGAGATACAGTGGAGTTACCTGTAGCTCACATTAGCATGGGGCTCTATTATCTTTCATTGGGATTTCACTGAATCCCGTCCATTGGTGGGGCGACTACGTCTGTCTTTCCCTCAGCCTCACCACTGGCCCACCTCTCCTGATGTGTGGATCAGATGGGCTCTAGAGAAAGGGCAAGATGATGTGAAGACAGTTCACCCCACCTTCCACAGAGAATACATCAGATTCGTGTGTGGCAGTTCCCCTCTGTGGGTTATGAATCATGGGGCCTTATCAGGCCCTGAGTTGGGATCTCTGGCTGCCACAGGCTGAGGCTGGCACACAAGAACAGAGCTGCTAATGGTGGAGTGTGCATGGAGAATCTGATGTCTTTCCCCTACATTTATTTAAGAATAAGCACCACATCTAACAAGACACATGCTTAGTTTGAAGTTTGAATACCATCTTATCAAGAAAAAAAGCTACAGACTTGGGGCCAAATCAGATCTGGTGTAACGACTCTTGAATATAACAAAACGGATGTTTCTGGGGCCAGTTATTTCTGAGATACGATATGACCAAATCAATAAGATATACCAAGAACTTTACGTGTATTTTTAAAAAATCCTACATCTTAGAAATGTCTTCTCCAATTCACCTCATAGATTGCTGAAAGAATTCTCCTGTGGTCACAAACTTTAGATGTAGAGTCACAAGAAGAAAGGATCAATTCTTAGGGATATAGATGGGGGAATGAAGGTTGTGATGTGCAAAAATCAGCCTTGCAATGGAAAGCTAATTACAACTTCAACCAAGGAGTGATGATCCTTTCTCTCTAACAAATGATTATATATACATTTTTTTTAATGTTTGCAGGAATTATTGGTGATTGGAAGGACCATTTCTCTGAAGCTCAGAATAAAGAAATGGACAGAAAATTTGAAGAGTGTTTAGCAGGAACTAAACTGGGAGAAAAGATGAAATATGGGTTGTATTGCAAGGCCTAAAGAGCAAAACCTAATGCATCTGTTTCCCTTAGTATGATCTGTTCACTTGTTTTTGTACACTGGAAAAATCATCTAAATTTCTGTGTATCCAAGTGTAAATCATTATGTTCTGGTCCTTAATACCAGTAATTTATGACAGATGTGTGCTTTAAATGTGATACCTCACCATGCTTAATAGATCTTTTAAGTATGCATATGCCCATTGTATGACACTGCCTTAGAAAAGAGCTGTAGACTTCAATATCATATACGCTATTCTGAGGCAGAATCAGCCAGAAGCACCATCAGTTATTTAACCATTCTATCAAAAACAATTTAATCGGAGAGCCAATTCTGCACTGAGAAATCCCATGAAGTTCCTGGGGGTTGCATTTGATGTAAGTCAGTGCAGAATTAGTGTCCAGATGATCCAGGTGTCCGAAAGCGATAGAAATTCCATCAAATAGATTAGTTTTTGCCATCTTCTGGTGGAAGAGGCTGATTCCCTCCAGGATAACTGTTAGCCAAGCAGCTTTTCTGTTTTTCTGCTTGCATTCATTATTTGTATGTGTCCTTTTAAATCTTTCATTTGATAAGTGTATTAAATTGTTATTAATTGGTTTATCTTGTACCAATCAGAGGGGGTTTGTCGAAAGCCTCCTAAGGGATGCCAGTTTTGTTTGGACATATTCCTGGAGGTTTTATAACATGACACAATCTTTAATAGAAGATTAATCTTTAATTACTGGAGACTCCAAGAAGTTCAGGACAAGCACACAAGTGAATTTAGCCAGTAATCTTCAAAATCTAATGAGGAG